TGGGGCTAATCAGGTAGTACTCTGATGTGATCTGAAGCTGTCCTCCGGGTATGTTTTTTCTGGTGTCCCTTGAGAGGGGCTCCTGTGCAGACCAATTTCAGCTTTGCCTGTTACCAGCCCATGGCTACCTGGTAGGAACCACAAAGCTATATGTGGCTGGCTGCTGTATCTGCTAGACCTGGAGGCTTGTGAGGGTGGCCTCACTGTGAATTGAGGCTGGCTGCCACCAGTGAGCCTAAGGCAGCCTAGCAAAATGCCCAGGACCTCTTGGTCTATTGCCACCTGCTGGCAGCCCATAACTCCCAGCTGTTGAAAGAGGCTCTTTAGGTGTGCAGGCCAGGCTGGGTGACCCAATGTTGAGTGTGTCCTCGGCAATGCAGCACTAGCTGGGTGGGGCAGAGTCCCAGGGAGTCACGACATATGGCACATGTTTTTCACAAAGTTAGTGCAGATTCAGTTCTTATACCAGTGCCTGGCCTGTGATTACTTCACGCAGTGGCCTGAGAACACTGCAGGCAGCTACCACTCATCTCAGGCAGTGCCTTGCCTGTGATCACTTCGCACAACGACCTTAGAACACCGCAGCCAGCCAGATTTGCCTCAGACTCACAAATCCTCCAGAGCTGCCCAAGACTGGCTGCGGTACAGGTTTTGGGTTACTGTCTACCATCAACATCTCCCTGGAATGTCACCTGCTGTCTGCTGTTGTAAAAGTCTTCCGTGTCTTGTGGGGCAGGGCTGGCCACCCAGGCGCTGAGAGTGCCCTTGGTGATGCAGCTCTAGGTGGGCAAGGTGGGTTTTCAGGGAGCTAAGGGATGCGGTCAGTGTTTTCTATAAAGTCAGTCTTGGCTCCGGCACTGGTGACAGGCCTGTGACCACCTCACAAAAATGTCCTGAGAACACCACAGCCAGCAACTGCCCTTCTCTGGACCACAGGTTCTCGAGAGCTGACCAAGAGATGCTACAGCACAAGTCTTGGGTCACTGCTTACCAGCAAATGTTTCCCAGACTGCCATGGGCCATCCGCCACTGCAGAAAGACTTCTGCAGCCTGTGGGGTGGAGCCAGCAGTCCAGCAGTCAAGAATGTCCTGGGCAATGTAGCACCAGCTATGCAAGGGGCGGGCATCACCAAGGTGGTGTGCACGCATGGATTCTAGCAAACCAATGTGATTCCAGACTTGGACCTTTGGGGGAGGATTCAACACTGAAAAGATGGTGCCCTCCTGTAGGCCAAACGTGTGTCAGGCTCTGCATAGGTACAACAATGGCTCCTGTTCCTCTAGCTCCTGCCCCAAAGACACACAACTCAGTCTTTCCCAGCATGTCCCTGGGCCTTCCAAGCTGCCGCCCCTCCATCAAAGGCCAGGCGAGTGCCCGCAAGCAAGCAAGTCCATGTGCAGGCTCTACAAGAGGATGTCTGGGTTTCTAGCCATCCTCCACCCCACAGGGATGAGCAAAGTGGTCGCTGATTTTCACTGCCAGGTGTCATGGGAACTTCTCTTCCTGGCACAGGACCCCTCGGCTGGGGAACCTGGTGTGGGTCTGGGACCCCTCCCTCTTCAGGGGGGACCTCTGACACCAAGATTTCCCTCCCAACATTCAACCACCATCTGTGGGCTTGGAGTCAGCCCGCTTAGCGTCTCTTCCCCTCCTACCAGTCTCGATGTAGCCTCTTCTTTATATCCTTAGTTATAGTGGTTTTGTTCAGCTAGTTTTCAGATGATTCTTGAGGTTGATTGTTCTATAATTTATTTTTAATTTTGGTGTGATTCTGGGATGCAGTATGCATAGTGTTTACTTAATCCACCATCTTGGAACTCTTAACTCTTGTTGTTTTAACAGCTTTTTTTTGAGATGCAGTTCACATCCCATATAATTCACCACTTAAAGTGTATAGTTCAATGGCTTTTATATCTTCACAGTTATGTGCAAACTATTACCACACCAATTTTAAAAGATTTTCATCATCTGCAAAAGAAAGCCCGTACCCTTTAGCTATCATCTCCTCATACCCCTATTACTCCTAGTCCTAGGCAACCACTAATCGACATTATTTCTTTATAGATTTCCCTGTATTAATTAACATCCATATTAATGGAATAATATAATATGTGATTTTTAGTGACTTGATTTCTTTCACTTAGTATAATATTTTTAATTTTCATCCATGTTACAACATGTATCAGTGCTTCACTTATTTTTATGACTTAATAACAGTCCATTGTATGGCTATACCACATTTTGTTGTCCATTTACTAGCTGATGGACATTTGGGTTGTTCTCACCTTTTCGCTATTATGAATAATGCTGCTGTAAAGATTCATGTACCAGTTTCTGTGTGGACATATGTTTTCATTTTCCTTAGCTATATATCTAGGAGTGGAATTATTGGGTCATGTGGTAACTATGTTTAAACTTTTCAGGAACTATCGCACAGTTTTTGAAAGTGGCTGTGCCATTTTACATTCCCACCAGAAATGTATGAGTGTTCCAATTTCTCCACATCCTTGCCAATTCTTGTTACTATCTAACTTTTAAATTCTAGCCATCCTAGTGGGTATGAAGTGGTATCTGATTGTGGGTTTTATTTACATTTATTTCCCTGAAACTCCTAATGGTTTTGATTACTGGTCTTACTCAAAGGCAATGGGGGAAAATCCAAATTATATTTACTGGAATTTTACTCTAATGACCCCTACCTGCCCCTGACTCCAGGCCCTCTGTACCTCATGCAGTTAGTGGCCTGCAGTAGAGCACTGGACTCAGGGGTTTGGGGTAAGGCTGGGTGAATCTTTAAGGAAAACTTTCTGCTTCCACTGTACCTGTCCTTAGACATCCACCAGTCCTCATTGACACCCAGTGAATTTTGAGGCAGGAGGTTTTATTAACCTATTTGCCAACTTAAATGAAAAGCACATTTGGACCCTAGCACCGCTTGGGTGTGTTAGAGCCAGGCTTTCCTGTTTTTGAGGCCCTTTAATGTCATCTTGTCCTTGGGCTTTGGGGCATATGAACTTCCTCTCAAGACCTACCTTCTTACACATCCCTCTAAATGTGTCTTGTTCCTTCTTTCTTGTCCCTTATTCCCTTCCTTTCCGGCCTCCAAATATAGCCATTAACTAGATGGGAAAGTCACTTTTTCTCCTCCTCCAAATGGATATAACAGTAACCTACCTCTCAGGGTAAGTATGAGGATATGAAATCATGGGTATGAACATGCCCTAAGAGTGTCTGGCACAGAGCAGACACTCACCATAAAGCAATTTCCATTTCCATCCCTTCACTCCAGAGCTGGTGGTCCTTTAGATTAAAAAGGTTGTTGAGACCTAACTGAGTGACCTTTTTATACCTCCCAATTGTATGAGCTTATTTCTCTTCTGGGGTCTCAATGCAGAACAGCAGCCAAAAGCAACAAATGGACAACCCCCACATATGTTTGTTTTCATTTAGGGCGGTTGGTGGCTGAATGCTTTATGCAGAACTAGGAGGTCAGGAAGGCTGTGACCAGCACATCAACCTCCCCTTCTGTGGGATAATAATGACTTCTGCCATCACCCAAACACAGAAAATAAACCTGCTGGGTGTGAACATGGGAACCCTCATTTCTTTCCAGCCTGACTCCAAGCTAAGCCAACAGGACGATGTACTTTTAGAACATTGAGCAGCCAGGAGGTTCATGTAGAAGCAGCTAATGGGAAATCCTAGGTACTTGATGGGATGGCAAGCTTGGAGGCAAGAGGCACTTGAGTGCCAGGAACAGGAGATGCTAAATTACATGTGTGGGGAAAAGCAGCGACCAGAGTTATTGGAAATGGTGAGAGAAGAGCAGGTAGGGTGGGGAGCAATTAGTAAACTCCCTCTGCCAGGGTGCTTTGGCCAAATCCCTAAGGCCAGTTTGCATAAACTGCTTCTCCTGTCCTAACCTGCTTTTGACCAAAGCCTTCTACCACTCAGGGGATGTTAAGTGTCAGTCTGAAAGTGAAAAACATCCCCTGCCTGCAAGTTTCCAGACAGCATTGGATTATGTCTGTCTCTTCTATACCAACCTCCCCACTCCTCACCCTTCACCCCCACCCTTCACCAGCCCCATGACTGTCCTTGAGCCCCATGTTAGTTTTCTGGGCTTTAGCAGTATTTTTGGAGTTCACTGTCTATATCTAATGTGTGTAATTGAGTGAAAATGGCTCATAAGTTCAGTTGAGCTTATCTCAGTAGATGCTCGTCCCCCTAGAGCAGCGGTTCTCAACCTTCCTAATGCCACAACCTCTTAATACAGTTCCTCATGTTGTGGTGACCCCCAACCATAAAATTATTTTCATTGCTACCCTATAACTGTAATTTTGCTACTGTTATGCATTGTAATGTAAATATCTTTTTGTTTTCCGATGGTCATAGGTGGCCCCTGTGAAAGGGTCATTCGACCTCCAAAGGGGTTGCAACCCACAGGTTGAGAACCGCTGCCCTAGAGCTTGCTTCCTGAGCATTTCCTTCTGGAAAAGCTTGTGACCATGACAGCAGGGAGTACATGTCAGCCAGCCTTAGTCCTGTCCCCAGGTGATATGAGACCTCATTGTTGGAGCTGAGCTCCCCCTGTTTGGAAGTGTGATGTTGCAATAGACTGGAGCTTTTAATCTTCTTCCCTGGGGACTCTCTGTGAGAAGACAAAAACTAGAAATAATTTTCAAAAAACTAAAGAGGAAATTTCCAGAAACCCATTTCTCAATCAATTTCCTAATTTCTCATTAGCCAGTGGTCCAATGCAAAGCAATTATTAGAACACTTGTTTCTTATCGTCACATTTTCAGTCTTCCTAGATGAGCAGCTTTCAGAAATTAACCCAACCCACTGCCACTTCTGCGCGCGCGCGCGCGTGTGTGTGTGTGTGTGTGTGAGTGTGTGTGTGCGCGTGTGTGTTCTCAAATCTTTTATAACCAATCAGAGCACTTGCTACTTTGTTTTCTAAACGAAAACCCCATTGGTTTGGTATTTCCATTTCTAGGATCTGAAACCACTTTACGCTAACCGGTGCCACTATGTTCCCAAGACATCACAGAAGGAAGCTGAGGAGGTGAGCCTGAATGAGGGTGTATGTCTTACCTTTTGAGAAAGTCTCCTGTTCTGCCTAAAACCATCTTTCTTCTACTCTTTTCCAGGGGCTTAAGGCTTGCTGCTACGTATTTGTAATTGATTTCCTCACTGGATGAGAGCACAGTGCTAATGAGGCTATGGTTATAGGCTGGAGCCTCAGGAGGCCTAATCAGATTTACTCTGTTCTGTGGCCACAGACTTCCCCTCTGACCCCAGCAGGCAGCCTCGTAGTGTGTGACTTTGATCCCAAGAGGAGCAGATGAGAGTAGAGAGGCCACAAGGCAGGGTCCTCCCCCATCTCTGTGGATGATGGTTCAGTTGCCTGTGGTTCAGGTGCCCAAGCTTGAAGAAAAGAAGGAGCCCCACCAAGGCACTAGGCCTGGGACTAGGGGGCAGAGCCTGAGTCTCACACACAGAAGGGGTCAAGAATCCAAATGAGGGTGATTGAGAGGCCTTGTCCACTTGAGACTCTGGAGTGGCCAGAACTGTCAGCCTGCCCCACTCATGACACCCCCAAGAGGCCTGTCTGATAATGCTTAAGTGGGCACATGAGACTCTCTCCTGCCCCAGAGAGCTCTCCTTGTGTTCCATGTTGCTTCACATAGAATTACAGGTGGTAGGCGGTGAAGTGAAGCAAGGCTCCAGGTCATTTTCAGAGAGCTTTCATTTCAGTACACAAAAGCCCCTCCCCAACCCAGAGATTACTTTCATAGGAAACTCTACTGTGTGCTTCTAGGAACTTTGACAACTTGGTTCTCTGTTAAACTCAAATTGAAACTTAGCCGCCCCTCCGCCCCCTGCCCTGTCCCCCGCCCCCACCAGAATAGTTGGAAAAATTGTAAACTTGCAATTGGGAGAAAGGAGAGGCAAGTGGATATAAAATGGCCACTGCATTGCACAGTTTCAGGGGAAACCATTCTACATAAAATACAATGTGAATGGTGCCTTTGCAGTTGGGCAAAGCAATCGCCCTGCTCCCAAGGCATCAGGGTAAATGCTTTTTTTATGGCTCTGCCATGCACTTACTTCCTTTTGCTAATCCTAATCACAAATTTACCATTTTTCTAACTATCCTTCGGTTAAAAGGGAGGAATAGAAATGTGTGTGCTTGTCAGAAAGGCAGTGAGCATTTGGATGAAGGACGGATCCAATATTGAAAAAAGAATCCATTTACTACGAATGTTCTCTATAACACAGCAAAACAAATTTACAAGCATTTCATTGCATCCATGAGGGAGACAGCCTGGAAATTTTTTTTACCAACAAAAGACAGTAAATGGAAATTAATCTTTAAAAATTTTGCCAACTCAAGATATATAAAATGGCATTGCTCTTCTCTTGATTTCATCATGATTGCTTTCTTGTATTAACTGTAAAAATATTAATAATGACTCCTGTAGGTTCACTTGTAAACCATATCCCCTTAACCTTATTTTTCCTATATAAGGTCATAAGTTCCTCAACCAAAAATTCTTCCGTGAGGGTTATGAGGAACCTTACCCAGGCAGCTAGAGAGGTACCATTATACTTCAGAGTGCATGTGATTGTCCCTCTGCCTTCCTTCCCATCTGATCCCTTTTCTTCCTGTATCTACCCTGATTTCCCTTCCCCTTGTATCCTCATTTCCTACCATCCATTTGTTCGTCTGTCCATCCGTTTTTTTCTTCTCTCAATGTCAACCCTTCAGGGATGGGGCACCGGGGGCTGTGGCTGAAGCTGGATGTGAGCACAGCTACACAGTAACTTGCTTCATGCCCAAGTTCAACCAACCCCCTGCCTAGCCCCATCTTTCCCATGTGTTGGTGTGCTCATCTCACAGCCATCTTTACTGTCATTATCAGTTGCTAACTCACATTTCCAATCCCAGAGGGTCCTGGTTCCTGCAATATCAGCTTATCTCCTCAATGTTGTGTGCCCTCAGGTGAAGTGCCCTCACCTCAGCCGTGAATTCTGCACTCCTCGCATCCGGGGCAACACCTGCTTCTGCTGTGACCTCTACAACTGTGGCAAGTAAGAGCTGAGCATATAAGCACAGGAACAATGGTTTTACCATTATGGACGCTAGAAAGGCTAGGGTGGGAAAAGGGCATACAATAAAGATCAGAGACGAAGACACTGGCTGGTCAACAAATTTCAGCTCACATACATTACCTGCCTTCTCTGTGCCAGGCAGCATGTTAAGCGTTTTTTTTTTAAGATTTTATTGGGGAACTGGGGGAGGGGAACAGTGTTGGGAAATTGGGGAAGGGGAACAGACAAGTTGCTGTCCTTTTGTTCTTCAGTCTAGTTGTGGAGGACATCGCTTCACTGGCTCATGTTGGCATTATCATTGCACTCTTCCCGGGTGAGGCACATTGGTCGCTGGCCACTGGACAGCTGCTCACAGCAGCTCTTGGCAGCTCATGCTGGCTGCCGGCCACTCACGCTGGCTTCCAGCCACTCATGGTAGCTTTTACTGCAGCTCACTGCAGCCTATGCTGTCGCCGGCGACTCACGGCAGCCCAGCTCCAGGTCGAGCTGTTGTTCACCATCTTAGCTGTAGAGGGCGCAGTGTCACTGGCCCTAATGTGGGATCCGAACTGGGACCCTGCTGCTCAGAGCTGGCGTTCCAACGCTCCACTCGGCCAGCCCAAGTGTTTTTAAATATTTGATCTCATTTAATTCTTCTCTATGTAGAATTATTATTCCCATTTTACAGATGGTGAGAGTGAGGCTCAGAAGAAACAGACAACTATCCCAAGGTCACACAAAACTTGCAAATGGTGGACGAATTGTTCAAACCCAGTTCTAGGTCCAATTTCAATAACACTCAACAAGTCGTTATTGAGCACTTTCTCTGTGCATGGCCCTGTTCTAGACACTGGAGATTTGGCAGCAAACAAAACAAAAGTCCTTGCCCTCGTGGTGCCTGTATTTTATTAAGGAAGACAGTCAATAAACACAGGAATATATAACATGCCACGTGTTGATCAGAGCTCTGAAAAAAAAATGAAGCAGGAGAGGTAGATGTATAGTGACAGGTAGGGACTATGTGTGGTGTGTTAGATGGAGTAATAAGGGAAGGCCTCTTTGAAGAGGTGACATTTGTGCAGAGACCTGAGTGATGTGAGAGGACAACCCAAGTAGATACCTGGGGGAAAAGAGTGTTTCAAGCAGAAGGAACAGTAAGTGCAAAGACCCTGAGGAGCAGGTTTGGTTGCTAGTTCTGCTACAACCACTCTGGCTCTCTGCCCTCCAATTGTGTAAACATCATTTAGTCTTTCTTTAAAAACATATTTAGGAGCTAGTAATACAGAGACTGCTGCTGAGGAGCTTACAGACTAGTAGGGAAGTCAGACATGTGAACAATTACTTGAAATACAGTGTGATAACGGTGGTGGGGATCAGTGGATGTACTGGGGACACTGGCAACCGAAATAACTGAAAGTCAGAGTTGCTGAGGGTTGGGCGATGTCAAGGAGGATTGATGTGAGAGCTGAGGCTTAAAGCATAAGTGGGGAGTCAGGAAACAAACCGAAATGGAGTGAAGGTGGGAAAAGTATTCCCAGGATGTGGGGGTGGGTGTAGTTATACAAGGGGATAGTAGGTGAGGGCAGAGCTGTAGTCACAGGTCAGATCATGGATGGCTCATTGGCCATAGATGTGCTTTTAGACTTGACCTTGTAAACAATTGGGAGCCATTGAAGGGTATAGCATGGAAGATGGATTTGAGTATTTAGAGAGGATGCAGCTAGGGGGCCACTGCAAGAGTTTAGGCCAAAGAGGATGGAACCTGGATTAAGTTGGTTTGGGGACAATAGAAAGCAAGGAATACTTCTAAGATCAATTTAGAAGGTGGAATTGACAGTGAGCAGGTGATGGAGAGTGTAAGTGAATAGCCCTGCCTGTTGGGTGTGTGTCAGCCAATGCCTGCTCATGCACATATTCTCCAGATTCTCAGTGCAGAAGTACTGAGGGTCAGGAGACGGAGGGAAGAAGAGAGGAGTTTCCAGAAGGGATTTGAAGGAGCTAGATCCAGAGAGGTTGATGGATGCAAACCCCTCCTCACTTACATTTCCTACTCTCTGTATTGGGGGGCCAGTTTCTCTGAGTTGAGGATTAAGATCTGACAGACCAGGGGCAGGGAGAAGAAGGGGGTACTAATACCAGCCTTCACTAGCACCAGTCTCATTTCATTAAAAGGTTTAGGAGAGGAAGAGAAATTTAAAGACTCAAATGAGGTTTAGGTGATTATCTGGGAGCTCCAATTATTCACGGTGTAATAATAACTAACACTTGTAAAGGACGTCCCTCCTAGCAGCTGTGATTGAGAGCTGGCTATAATTGTACTTTCTGAGCCCATCCTTCCAAAAATGATCAAAGAAATGGAAAATAAGTCCCAGGGAAATTGGGATTCTTTTGCTATCTTTCCTCTTGCCTCTCCTTATCCCTCCCTTCCCTGCTCTGTCCTTCCCTCTCTTTTTCCCTCATTTCTCCTCTGAATGGCCTCTTCCCTTCTCCTTTTTGCTCCCCTCTTCTTCTCCCCCCCCCCTTCATCGCCTCTTGCCGCAGGGGCTGGGAGCTGGCCAGAATGGGGCTTGAGATCCAAGAAAGAGACAGGAGGCTTACCGAGGGGGCTGAAAACTGATTTCTTGCAGACACACTTTTCTCTCTGCAATTAGGTGTATTTCTCAAAACCATTTGAATAAACTAAATCCTAACTTTAAATACCAGTTAGCTGAGCCCTTAGGTGAATTTTTTTGAAAGTGGAGACTCAAACCCAATTTATCTTTCTGTCAATCTGAACTTCATAATAACTGACTTTTTAACTTTCTTAAAACAAGTTATGCCAGTATTGTCTTCAAGGCTTTAAAGGGATTTTGTGAGAAGCTGTGCTAAATTCTGGGCTTCCTAAAGGTAGTGAACATGACTTCATCTTATCTGTGTCCCTAGTCCCCAACACAGAACTGGGCATGAATAAAGACATGATGCAAAGGGAGTGACATTTGTTGAAAAGGAACAAAAAAGGTAATGTCCTTTTCACCAGGAAAATAGAATATGGGACTAAGCAACTAAGAGGGGTTATAGGAATGCTGCTCTTAAAGATCTTCAAGCATGGAAATAGTTTTCACCTGTCTGATGCCAAGAGCTCTGTCCCAGGCAGCAGTCATTGCCCTTTCCCAAGTCTGCCTTATTAAAATTCCAAGTACAAGGCCAATAGAAAAGCACTTACTGAGCTTTTCATCAGGAAACAGTATTACTAGTTAAGAAACTAAGACCATGAGACTTAAGAAGTGATGATCCTACAACAGAGGGAAAAGTTTTACTTTGACCTGAGGTTTTTTCCAGCCAGCACTGATGAGACCTAAACTCCAGGCCTGAATATAGCTAGCCACAAACATTCTGAGGCTGAGACTTTAATTTTGCCAAATGCATACTTGTTTTCCTTACACAAAGCGTATTTTTAATCAATTGGCAGCTCCTCCAGTCCATTTCCTGGAAAAGAGGCCAAGAGAAAAAGTGGGAACAAACACACCAGGCAGTCATTTGTACAGTGCTATGAAAACACAGAGTTTCTACTGTCCCCTCAAACCCACAGACCTTCTCTGACGTCAGGGGCAATGAGGTTTTAATACCAAACATAGATTATTCCATTTAGCTTTGTGCAGGATGGTGGCTTACTCTAGGACACAGGTCCTTAGCAGCAGCCTTTCAGAGTACTTTACTCAGCTTTGGAGAGGTCAAGTCAATATCACTGGTTTTCAGTGTATAACCTAAAGGAAATGAAAGGAAAATGGGGTGGTTTGTAAACTGCTTCAGATGGTAATAAAATGAAAGACAATAGCTTATTTTCATTCATTCCTCCCTTGACAAACTTTTACTGAGTTCCTACTATGTTCCAGGGACTGGTCTAAAAGAATACCTATCAATAAAACATAATTTTGCCCTTGAGGAACTCAGTTTACCAGGGAGATTGTAGGAGGGGGTTTAGAGCAAGTACATGCAATGAAAGAGATATGCAGAGACTGCCCATTGCCACCACCTGTCCATCAAGTTGGTGAATGGTTCCAGGACCTTACTGAATAGCAGAAGCATGCCCTCTGCCTTATCCAAGATGTGTTGCTTCCTATTCTGTTAAAAGAGGTCTGAATCACAGAGAGGTTATCTCTTTCTCCAGGCACACCCAGCAAGTTGAGAGCAAGAGGATGAGAGCCCATATTGGGTAATCAATCTCATGATCAATGCAATGATCAGTCTTTAAACTCAGTTACTCATTCACCAAGTACGTATTTATTGATGACCTATGTTTCTACCACTGTGCGAGGCAGTGATAGAGAAACAAAAGAAGTTAACAAATGTCCCTTACTCTCAAGAAGTTACAATTTAGTCGGAGACAGCATGTCCACCTTGGCCTTGGTTGTAGCTTCAGCACGCAGCACAGTACTCAGCATTGATTAGGCTCTCAACAAACATTGGATTAAATGAATAAGTGAATTATTGACATATGCAAAGTGCCAAACTAAGAAAAAACAGACTCTTCTGAGGCTGTGGATGGGGTGTTCAGGGAAAAAGCTAATGAATGGGCACTGGAGTCTTTGAAGAAGGCACTAGAGAGGTGAATATTGAAGGTTTTAGCAATGGGAAATATCAGGACAGACAGAGAACAGAAGGCAGTACTTCCTACACCAGGAGAGAAATCTGAGCAAAGATTTAGAATAAGTGCCCACCATGACCAGTTTGAGGCTTCTGAGGACTCCAGCATGGCTGGAGTGTGAACTCCATTTTGGAGTTGGATTATGGCAGGCTGAGGAATTTGGACACATTTTCCTGAAGGTAATGGAAACCATGCAAGGGCTTTGATTAAATGAATGACTTAGTTTTAAAAATGTTTTAGGAAGCTTAATCAGGAAGTGGTAGGGACTGGCAGGAGAGCCCTGTAGTTCTGGAGGTTTGATAGTTGGAGTGTTGAGAATGCAAAAGATGGAATTTCAGAGGAAGCTTTGCCCAAGGAGTGAACCAAATGGAATCATGAATCTCAAACAGAAACAAAGCACATTAATTGGTTAAATCCTGAACCAGATCTAAGAATTAACATTATTTTGCTTCATAATTCAGTGGAAAAACAATTTCAATAGCTGCTGAACCCACTCAAACTGAAACTAAACATATATTCTCTACAACTATTGAATATTTAAAAACAAACTATTGACCTAAGGCCAGGTTGTGGCCTGTGCCTTTAAAGTCTTAACACCTTTAAGAACATTATTCAACTGTTTGAATCATGTTGCCAGAGGTTGGCTCTTAGAAAGAAAACAAATATAGCTGCATGTTTTTGTGGGGACTCTTATTATGTACTGGAGTACTGCTTTCATGCATTCTCTAATTGAATCCCCCAGGCTCAGAGAGGTTAAGAAAGTTGCTCAGGGTCAAACAGCAAATGAGTGATAGAGCCAGATGCAAATGCAGTCCTACTCCGCAGTCTGCTATGCCATAATGCCTATCTATATGTATTACCAGCCTGCACTCAGTGTCTTAGGAGGTAGGCAAAGATAATTTGGGGGTAGTCAGAAAATGACTCTTAAGCCTCTCCTGGGCCCCTTCCACCCCATATTCCCCCCTTAACACAGGCCTGCCCTTTCCAGGGGATAGTCCTTGTCTAGCTGTGTGCTTTTGAGCAGTAAGTAATTTGTGTGTCTTCCCTGCCCCACCCCCAGTACATTATTAACTAACAGGGACACTCAGTGTATGCTTGTAGTCTCTTCAGGTATGTTCTTGAAAATACTGAAATCCAGTTCAAATTCTGCTGAATTTAAACACCTTTAATATTCTACCGTGGAAGCTTATTGTGCAAAACAGTGGGTCTCTAATATGAGTGAGCACCTTAAGAAAGATTCCTGAGCATCACCCCTCACCCCTGCAATTCTGCCAGATTCAGTAGGATTGGGGCTGGGCCTAAGAATCTGCGTGTTAACCATCTTTTTCTCAAAGATGCGTACACATATACACAGAGACACCAACAGGCACAAACAAATAATGCACTGACACACACAGGCAGGCACACATAGACACAAACACAGATGATTCTGATACAGGCTGTCCTGTAACCACACTGATTTCAATTCCTTAGAGAAACACTGATTTTTAAAGAATTCTAAGATAAATTCATCTGTCAAGTTTAAAAGTGTTTTCTTGTGTGAATAGTCCCCCACCCCGATTCATTTGGAGGTTAACCTTTAATTTTTTTCTTTTCATTTTTGATGTTTTTATAGTGGGGGGAGGGTCACATGTATTAACCATCCTGATCCCAGGGCATTTGGGTTTGACTTTCATTTTAAGATTTACAGTGATTTAGATTCATTATGGATTCCAGTGACCAAGTTGTAAATTAGATTACAACATCCTAGAGGACAGGAACTTTTATTTATTTAATTCACCAGGTATTTATGTAGCACCAACTATGTGTCAGGCACAGCAGTGAACAAAAGTAACCAACTCCCTGTCCTCACAGAGCTCACATTCGAGTTGGGCAAACAGACACACAGACAGTAAAGAAGCACACACATTAGTAAGGAATGAGTGCTACAGAGGAAGTAGAGAAGGGAAATGTCTTAGCTTGGGCTGCTATAACAACATACCACAGACTGGGTGGCTTCAACAACAGATATTTATTTTCTCGTATTCTGGAGGCTGGAAGTCCGAGATCAGGGTGCCAGCATGGTCAGGTGGTCAGGTTCCGATGAAAGCTTTCTTCCTGGCTTGCAGACAGCAGCCTTCTCACTTTGTCTTCCTTCACATGGCCTTTTCTCAGTGACTGTGTATGGAGATCTCTCTCTCTCTCTCTCTCTCTCTCTCTCTCTCTCTCTCTCTCTTTCTCTCTCTCTCCTTTATAAAGCCACCCATCCTACTGGATTAGGGCTCCACACTTATGACCTCATTTAACCTTCATTACCTCCTACAAGCCCTTCTCCAAATACAGTCACATTGGGAGTTAGGGCTTCAACATATGAATTTTGTAGGACACAATTCAGTCCATAGCAAGTAATGTGATAGAGAGTGACTGGGTCTGGGAGTGGGGTTGTCTTTAAACAGAGTTCTCAGGGACGGCCTCTCCAAGGAGGTGATAGTCAGGTTTTGTGCAGCAACTCAGCTTTAGTTCTTTATTGGGACATTGTTTTTTTGTTTGTTTGTTTATTGGTGTTTTGTTTTGAGAGAGGAAACACTGAAATCTTCGAAGCCTGAATTCAGATCCCAGCTGTACATCTTATGACTTGAGCAAGTTCCTAACCTCTCTGTGCTTCCATTTCTTTATTGGTAAAATGGGAATAGTGATAGTACCTACCTTATAGGATACTGTAAGGGTTTGCAGTGCTGTCTAATAGAACTTTATGTGATGATAGAAATGTTCTGTAATTTGCTCTGTCCAATCCAGTCCAGTACAGTAACTAGTGTGACCCTTAGAAGTGTGGCTATTGAGCACTTAACATATGGCTGGTGAGAATGAAGAACTGAATTTTTAAATTTTACTTAATGCTAATTAATTAATTTAAATTTAATTACCAGGGGTGTCAAAAAACACGTATACACATGACTTGTATTCATCTTTTGTTACTGGTATATATCAAGTATTACAATTTTAATACAGTTTTTTCCTTCCTTAAAATGTGTATACATTTTTTGGCACCCTCTGTAGTTACATGTGACTAGTAGCAGCCATATTAGCACAGATTTAAAATGCTTAGCACTGTGCCTGGCACATAGCAAGTGTCAATAAATGTTATCTAGGATTAGTGTTAGTGATGGTAACAAGTGTTTCTCTGACAGGTAGGAGTTGTTGGAGTTTTGTTTTGTTTTATTTTGTTTTTTAGATAAACAGCAATTGTACTGATTTATTATAGTGTCTTTCTTCCTGAGTATACTCACGGCTATGATGTCCCTTACAATAGCTCCCCACCTACCCACCTGTTTTTTGCTGAGCTGCATGGTAGCCAAAGCCCTAGGGGGCCAGCCTGTTCCGTGGGAACTGACTGGAGTGTGTTTCTCCCTGTCCAGCCGGATGGAGATCATTGGTGGGTACTATGAGTACATCGATGTCAGCAGCTGCCAGGACATAATTCACCTCTACCACCTGCTCTGGTCTGCTACCATCCTCAACATCGTCGGCCTGTTCCTAGGCATCATCACTGCCGCTGTCCTTGGAGGCTTTAAGGACATGGTAAGGAAGGAAGTGACTCCCCATTCCACAGAGGTCCCTGTTGGGGGCCAGAGCCAGGCTGGGCAGTTAGGAACAATGGGGACCCATGTATTGAAGGGAGAAATCAGAAGCAATTACTTCAAGAATGTAGCTACCTTCAAACATCTCAAGTTGAAGGATCCAGGTAATGCCATCAGTCTGCAAATATTTCTTGTTAACATGAATTGCCTGTGTTCTTGAGGCACATTCTGAGGGCAGGAAAGGGAGGGAGGATGTTCTCAATTCTCTGGTTCATGCTGTTTATGTAAACATGCCTTTCAAATCCCTCCTCCCCCCATGTGCTTTTAGCAGAAACCTTTTTGGGTAGTTTTTCCCCTAATAGACTTGGGGAGAGATTGAAGGAAAGAGGTTTTTTAGTTACAGGTAAGAGTAATGCTAGTTTCCCCCTCCCAGGAATTTTGTCCTGGATTTTCTCCAGAAAGAACATCTGGACTGTTTTGTTTTTTGTTTTTATGTGTGTGCATTTGAAGGGCCAGCCCTAGGCTAAGCTACTTGCCAGGTCTTGTCGTCAACCTCAGCCTCAATCTGAGCTTCCTCACATCCCTTTTCCTCCCTTTCAACTCTTTTCCATCTTTGTGTGTGTGTCTGCAAAGGCACACCAGGATTCAGCACGCAGTAGGTGCTACATAATAGTGGGTTCCTTTTTTCTTTTGCTTTTAAAGCACTTCTAAGCATTTATTTGCTTTATTTAATAAATCTTAATCTCAAATTACAGAAATAATAGCTTTAGAGCTATGATTATTATCCTGGCTTCGTATGAGAATAGAATCACTTGAGGTGCTTCAAAAACTCAGATCCCTGGGCCCTTCCTTCAGAAATTCTGATTTAATTGGTCTAAGTTCAAGCCCAGGTGATTCTGATCTGCAGTCAGGGTTGAGTACCACTCCTTCATTCCTTCCTTCTCTCCTTCCTTCCTTCTCTCCTTCCTTCCTTCTTTTCTTTCTTTCTTTCTTTCTTTCTTTCTTTCTTTCTTTCTTTCTTTCTTTCTTTCTTTCTTTCTTTCTTTCTTTCTTTCTTTCTTTCTCCTTCCTCTCTTCCTTCCTCCCTTCTTCTCTTCCTCCCTTCCTTTGGTTTTAACATACAGTTTTTTTTAATTATAATGTATCTCTTATTTTTTGTTCTATGCTAATAAAAAGTTTTAAATTGCTACTAACATATTGGGCATTACAAACTTTGATTACTTTAAGGGCACTTGATACAAAATAATTTGATTTATTCATTTTTGCTCATTTAATCACTCAAGAGAGAGTTTATGAGGGCCTACTAAATGTGGGAAAAATCAAGATAAGATAAATGCCCTACCCTTAAGTATCTCAGGATCCCCCCCTTTGTTTTAGTTTCAGGTTGTACAAAACAACATAATGACTAAACATCCACACCTCGCACAAAGTGATAACCCTCCCGAGTCCACCACCCCTCTGACATCGTACATAGCCATTACAGTACCATTGGCTGTATCTCCCATGCTGTATTTTACATCCTGTGAATATATATATATATATATATATATATATATATATATATATTTATTTATTTATTTATTTATTTATTTATATATATATAATTTTTATATTTATATATTTAATTATAGTTAACATTCAATACTATTACATCAGCTTCAGGTGTACAGCACAGTGGTAAGGCATCTACACCATCTATAAAATGATCCCCGGATAAGTCCAGCACCCATCTGACACCCTACATAATCTTTACAACATTATTGAATATATTCCCCACACTGTATTTCACAGCCCCCTGACTATTCTGTGACTATCAGTTTTCAACTTCTCCCCCACTCTCCAACCCCCTCCCATCTAGCAACCATCAGATTTTTCTCTGTATCTCTTGAGTCTATTTCTGTTTTGTTTGCTTATTGATTCTGTTCTTTAGATTCCACATATAAGTGAGATCATATGGTATTTGTCTTTTTCAGTCTGACTTATTTCACTTAGCATAATATACTCTAGGTCCATCCATGTTGTTGCAAATGGTAAGATTTCATTCTTTTTATGGTAGAGGAATACTCCTTTGCATAAATGTACCACAATTTCTTTATCCAATCGTCCATTCATGGGCATTTCGGTTGTTTCCATATCTTGGCTATTGTGAATAGTGCTGCAATAAACATAGTGGTGCATATATTTTTTCGAATCAGTGTTTTGGATTTCTTTGGATAAATACCCAGGGGTGGAATTGTTGAGTAATAAGGTAGTTCTACTTTTAATTTTTTGAGGAACTTCCACACTGTTTTCCATAGGGGCTGCACCAATTTGCAATCCCACCAACAGTGCACAAGGGTTCCTTTTTTTCCACATCCTTGCCAATACTTGTTGTTTGTTGATTTATTGATGATAGCCATTCTGACCAGAGTGAGGTGGTATCTCATTGTGGTTTTTCTTTGCATTTCTCTGATGATTAGTGATGTTGAGCATATTTTTGTATGTCTATTGGCCATCTGTATGTACTCTTTGGAGAAATTTCTATTCAGGTCTTCTGTCCATTTTTTAATTGGGTTGTTTGTTTTTTTGGTGTTGAGTTGTATGAACTTTTTTATAAATTTTGGATATCAACCCTTTATCAGATGTATCATTGGCAAATATCTTCTTCCATTCAGTAGGATGTCTTTTGTTTTGTTGATGGTTTCCTTTGCTGTGAAAAACTTTTTAGTTTGATGTAGTCCTATTTTTTTATTTTTTATTTTGTTTCCCTTGCCTGAGGGGATATATCAGTAAAAATATTACTAAGGGTAATGACTGAGAGTTTACTTCCTATATTTTCTTCTAGTTTTATGATTTCAGGTCTTACACTTAAGTCTTTAATCTATGTTGAGTTTATTTTGCATATAGTGTGAGAAGGTGGTCCAGTTTCATTTTTTGCATGTATTTGTCCAGTTTTCCCAGCACCATTTATTAATTAGATTGTCTTTACCCCAATGTAAATTCTTGCTTCCTTTATCATCGATTAAATGACTCAGGGTCTCTTTAGTAAAATAGATATATAAACAAATATTAACAAATCAAAGGGGCAAAAGATAAAATAATGAATTTATGTTATGTTTTGTGTGGGTACTACTGCTTTAAAAAATGTCCCTCAAGGACGCCAGAGGGCCCCGGTTCGGATCCCACATATGAGGGCCAGTGACACTGCCCTCGACAGCTAAGATGCTGAACAACAGCTCAACCTGGAGCTCGGCTGCCATGAGTCGCTGGCGACAGCGTGGGCTGCAGCCCCTGCTGCAGTAGGTTGCCATGGGCTACCGTATGTAGCCAGCAGCCAATGTGAGCAGCCAGCAGCCACAGTGAGCAGCCATCCAGAAGCCAGCAACTGATCTGCCTCACCCGGGAAGAGCGCAATGATGGTGCCAGCTTGGGCCAGTGAAGCAACGTCCTCCACAACTAGACTGAAGAACAAAACGACAACAACTTGTCTGTTCCCATCCCCCCAATTCCCCAATAAAAATCTTAAAAAAAAATGTCCCTCAAGTGTTTAGGAAATTATTTTGTGCCAAAATGGGGTTTATTTCCAAGAAATAAGGCAGATACATAGAAAGTTTTATTGAAGGTTGGGCACAGAGAGAATGCCCATGTCAGTGTCTAAAGAAGACGGCTGCCACGGGTTTCTGTTTGAAAGAGAAATACTGGCAAAAAGGAGTTTGCCAGGGCAGAATCTGCTAGGGACAGCTGCCCTGATCTTTAGGTTAGCTTTTTCTTATATAGGAAAGTGGGAATCGGTCAGGCAGGTCTGAGGGCTGACATCGCTTCGTGGAGTCTGGTCTGTTTTAAGATAATGTTATCTCCAGACTCCATACTCAAACTTGGCCACAGCCTGGGAATTCACGCATCACCAGTAAAAACTTCAAGGGAGTTGCAAATTTGATTTCGGTGTCAGGGCGCCTGAGGATTAAGAAATTTCTCTTTTCCAGGTTAGGATTCTGTTAATTAAATGGATTAACGAGGTATGGGTAGCCTTGAGAAAGGGAGCAGAACAGAGTTATTAAGTTAATCAGTGTGGGGTGAAGCAAAAAGAAAACAGCTGAATATCAGGATGGATCTAACTGCAAACTAAGTTTATAGGTGGCTAGATAGTGAGCTATGTGGTGAGTCAAACTGTAAACTATTATAGTTAAGTCTAATTACATTATTGATTTACCCAATTTCACCCTTACATTTGGGAGCTTCTTTAACTGTAAAGGAGAGCAAGGGAAGGTTTTTCTTTGTTTGTTTGTTTTTAAAGATTTTTATTGGGGAATTGGGGGAAGTGGAACAGACAAGTTGCTGTCTTTTTGTTCTTCAGTCTAGTTTTGGAGGACGTTGCTTCACTGGCCCAAATTTGCACCTTCATTGAGCTCTTCCCGGGTGAGGCAGATCAGTCGCCGGCTTCTGGACAACCGCTCACTGCGGCTGCTGGCTACACACGGTAGCCCACAGCAACCCACTGCAGCAGGGGCTACAGCCTACGCCGTTGCCAGCGACTCATGGCAGCCCAGCTCCAGGTTGAGCTGTTGTTCAGCATCTTAGCTGTGGAGGGCAGTGTCACTGGCCCTCATATTTGGGATCCGAACTGGGGCCCTCTGGCGTCCCAAGCCAGTTCTTAACCAACGTGCCACTTGGCAGACCCAGCAAGGGAGGTTTTGATCATCATCAAATGACAAGCCTGGGAACTCAGGCAAGGACCAGCAGAGAAAATGAAAGATGAAAGTAAAGGTCAGGGGGCAAGATATTTGATTCATTAGGTGAGAGAACATTAGTGGGAGTATAAGATGAGGGCACCAAGGAGTAACCATTACTTAGCTCATTTTATTAAAATGAGGCATGGTGTGGAACATTAACCAAGCGAACCTAAATAAAATCCCTGGCCTACATCCAAATGTGGTTGGTGACTTGTGGTGTACCACCTCCATGAGTAGAATGCCCTGGGGTCTGCAGGGAGGCCCAGGGGTGCTGGCTGATGAAAGCCATTCT